CATCCTTGATCTACTTGGTATATCTGCAGGGTTCAATTTTGTGTTAATGTAATGAATTGAATATGGATCCAAAATTTTGCGAATTTTTTCCACTCTTCTTTGTACATATTTATTTTTATTCACTGTCTTGCTTCTCATCCAATAAATGATAATTTTAGAATCCACATAAGCTCTAAATTGCACATTCAAATGAGTGAAGCAGTTCTTTATTTGCTGGTACAATTCAGCTAGTATTAATAATGCTTGAAGCTCCAATTTCGGTATTGTTTCTTGTGCGGAGGCGATTACAGCTGCATTTTTCAATTTATTGACACCACCTTTTGCTATTACAAGATGTGTGTTGAATATATCATTGGTTTGTACTCTTGCATATATAACAGCTGCTTTTGCTAGGCCGCTTGCATCGCTGAAGCCGATAAGGTCTAAAAATCCATTACTTGACGTGTTGAGCCATCTTGTTATTTTAATGTCTGCTAATTTATGCATATTTTGAATTACAGCATCAAATTTTCCTTTCCAAGTTTCGTCCAGTTCCTCATCCCAATCAACTTTTGTTGCCCAAATCTGTTGCAAAAAGATCCTTAATAACATAGTGTAGGGCAAAATGAATTTAAGCGGGTCATAGTTCTTTGCTACAACACTAGATACACCACGCTTTGTGTAAATCACTTTTTCCGGTGCCTGAATATTTAAGCTAAATTCATCTCTGATTGGATCATAATTGAGTCCCAAAGTCTTGAATTTTTCAACATTGTCCTTTGCATATGAAGTAATTTTCTTTTCCTCAGGAATTTCACGTAAGACTTCTGGGTCATTAGACATAAATTTGGTCAAAGGAAATTGCCCTTGAGCCATAGTATGAGTGACCTGTGTAATTAACTCCTTACATTCTTCAACCGTATCAGCTCCATAGACAAAGTCATCTACATAAAATGCCTCTTTTATTATCTTAGCAAGGGTTTCTGATTGCGCATTATCGACTGCGCACTGCTGAATAGTGCGTAGACTCTGATATGGGGCACACTCTGTACCATATGTTACAGTTTCCAACTGAAATTCACGTAACTCATCGCTCGGCTTCTCTCTCCAAATAATTCTCAATTTTTTGCAATCTTCAGGCAACAATAAGATCTGTCTGAACATTTTAGCTATGTCAGCAGTCACAATAACTTGAAAGGTTCTGGCTTTTGTCAAAATTTCAATAATTGAGTTTTGGAGCTTTGGACCTGAGCATAGTTGATCATTAAGGCTTTTTCCATTGCTCGTAACTGCTGATGCATTAAAAACGTTCCTCAATCGTGTTGAGAGCGCATTTGGTCGAAATATAGAGAGATATGGAACGTAATAGCAGTTTCCACTCTCATCTGCATGTTTTTCTTTTTCAATCTCAGTCATGTGGTTCATTGAGAGATATTCCCTCATAAATGAAGCATTTAATTGTTGATGTTCAGGATCCTTGTTCCATTTTTGCTCCTGCCATAAGAAAAATCTCAAAGTCTTCCGATATGAGTGGCCTAATGGCACTGGATTTGGTTTCCATATCATTGGAACAACATATCTTCCATCTTCTGTCCTATAATGCTTCTTTTCGAACAATTCTTCGCAATATTTTGCCTCATCATCGTCACACTCCTCAATTTCTTCTGGGACTTCAAAAAATTTCAATATTCTCTCATTAATTTTGTCATCACTTAAGCATTTTAAGGCTGATTCGTTGTAGGTTACAAATGAGCTTACAATTTTTTGAGGTCGAGAATTTTTCCCGCTTACAATCCATCCTAAATGCGTATCTTGTAAAAGTAAGCCGCTTTTTGTGATTTCCGTACCCCCTCCGGCCTTAAAAATTTGTGGCAAGACATCACTGCCCATCAGAATTCCAACTGAGCATGATTTGCCCAAAAGAGGATTTGCCATTTTCTTATCGCCAAACATATTCATATCAATTTCCAGTGTTGGAATATTGCTTGCAATTTTGGTTACAACCAAAGCTTGGGTGGTAATGACTCCAATTTTTGGATCGTCCAATTTTATGCTTAAATTAACGTACGATTTCGCTGTGTCAAGAATGTCATTAATTCCTTTGATGATAATATTTGTCTTATACTTGCGAAGTCCTAATTTTTGCACTATATCCTCAGATACGTAAGTTCTTTCTGCACAATTGTCAATAAGACAGGCAATTGGAATAGACATTCCATTTTTATCCAAAATATTAGCGATTGCCGTCGGCAAAATGGTGCAAGTATCTCCATTTTTTGTGACGAATCCATGTGTCTCTGCTTGTTGAGCTATGTGACTGAATTCTTGGCATTCCTGGTGGTTGGTAACAAATGTATTTGACGCATTATTGTTGATTGGATGCAAAACAGTATGATGATTTAAATTGCATTTCTCACATTTCACTGTATCTTTTGATCGACATGGATTTCTAAAGTTGAATTTATGCTTCAAACAATAAATGCAGATCTTATAATGACGTAGTAATTTCTCCCGATTTTCATTCGCCATTAAAGTCGGACACATGTTGACCAAGTGACTCATTTTGCATATAAAGCATTTTTTCTCTGGGTCAATGTTATTTGGAGGCACGGTATTCTCATTGTTCACTGTAACATGAGCACGCGTTGATTTGTTTTGTTTATTTTTATTGTTGTTGCTGTTGTCATATGAATTATCTTTAATTTTATGAGTGACTGCAGTTTTTATGCCACTTTGTCCCTCTGCGAGATTGCACTCGGCCATTAGAAATTCTGTTATCGTCTCAACGTTTGCTCTCAATTCTTTAGCTCTTAAAAAATCTTCATAACGCCGTTTTATCTGACTTTCTACCTGCATGTATCCAATTTCAAACAGCCATTCAGCTGGTTGTACATCGGTTAGTTGTGTTAAATTTGTGACAACAGTATTCAATGTAGAGTAAAATTGTCTCATTGCTTGCACGTCATTTGCTTTCACAGGTTGAATTTGCAGGAGCTTGGACACGTTATGTTGTACTAAAGCTCTGGTTATCAGGAACTCTTTGTCCAAAATGCTCCACATCACGCTGTAATTTTGCTCTTCAGTGGCTAAATGCTTGACTCTCTCCAGAGCTCTGCCACTTAACTTGCTTTGAAGCAATAATAATTTTTCTAGGTCGCTCCATTTGACCTTGGAGATGGCCTTTTGAAAAATTTCTTTGAAGGATTTGTATTCCAAGATATCTCCCTTGAACGTCGGAATTTCAAGTTGTTGCGGTTTTAGTGAGCTTTTTTCGGCATTATTTTTTGCGATTTGGTTTTGAAAGGCCTGAAATTGCTCCTGTATCAAAGTGCTTGTATTGACTTGAGTCTCTTGCTGGTTTTGGATTAATTCGAATTGTTTGCTGACAAGTTGCACAATCGCACTCATTGCACTTCCAATTCCAGCTTCTTGATTTGGTGGACTGTTGGATGAACTTGGTCCATCTGATGTCTGAACATTAGTGGCTTGGTTACCATGAGTTGGTTGATTAAAGGTACCAGGATCCACTGGAATCTGTTGATTTGAGATTCCTTGATTGGTGCTTTGATTGTTATGTAGCCTATTATTTGCTGCTTGATTGAAGTCGCCAGTATTGACTGGAACATATGATTGATTTAAGCTTGATTCACTTGATGAATCATGGATTGTAAAACGCGCATTATTTTGATTCTGCAGAAAGTTTCCGGAAGTTGCCGGAACATTTTGATTTCGCTTAAAGTCCTCAGAATTTTCTGGAACATAGGTTTGCTGCTGGTTGAGTCCAGTCTTTTTTGGTGGGCTTTTCTGTTCACTTATATTATCCGGACGTGACACATCTTCCCCCTTATGATCGGATGGTGAAATGAGTTCACCTTTCTTGGAAGTATGTTTTGATTTTCCGTCAGATGTCGAGGGTGTATAAATGTGGATCGATTTTTCGTCCTCAATTTCTTCACTCTCTTCTTCATCCGAGGTATCAAGATTTTTATCTTCAATAACTTCCAAACTTAGCGAGTTTTCCCTAGCATATGCCATTAACCGATTTTTGAAGTCCTCATTAGTCTGTATCAATGAATTAAAAGAATCCGTGTAAACATCTGGTAAGTCAGGATATTTTGTTAGTTTCCTATGGTTCTTAACGATGCAATTCCAGGATTCTCGCCGATTTCTCTCATAGTGTCTCAACACTTCTATCTTGCCCTTCTTTTCCTTCTTTTCCGAGGTTAATTTTAGGAATTGAACCTCAAATTCTTGGATGAGAGACTGTTGGTAATCCATCAATTCTGTTTGTTTGGTAAATTGGTCTGCCATGATGATACTTCAATTAATCGTCTGCAACTTTGCTAATCTTTTCCGGGATAAGTGTAGACAGCTCTTCAGTAAATCCTCCGGCCGCGAGAATTTACTTTACCGTCAAAATTTTAAGATAGATTCACTTTATCGAAGGACCACTTGTTTTTTGTATTTAAATCACTTGGTTTTTACATTTAAATATTTTTATTGAACTGTTTATTATTAAAGTTAATTGATAACTGTATCGTATAAAAGTTAAAGTTAAACTGTACTGTTCTTAAATCTAACATGCTATTTATAGTCTGAATCTATAATTGATAACTGTAAGATGACACCCAAAGGTGTCATCTTACGTTATCATTACTCATGGACTCATGACTCATGTGAACTATGATTCATGTATGTCCATGACTCATAAACTTGTAAAAAAAATAATAAAGTATAGATAAACTTAAAACAAATAGATTCCTTACAAATTGAATCGCAGTGCCTCCAGCTGAAAGGCTGGGCCCTTCACATATTATTCATTCAAGCCTTTTACATATTTTTAACACATCATGTCTCTTAAACTTAATTAATTAAGATGTTTGTTGGATTAAAGCTTCTCATAATACCACTACGATGTCAAAGTCTCGACACGACTATCTTATCATTGCTTTGAAGTACTAGAACATGTTAAATCCACGATAAGTTAAGGCTTTAAATTTGAGATAAGATTACTAAGACTTTTTTGATGTATAAATAGACAATAATCAGCAGAAATTAATTTTAGTTTGCATTGAAATGTTGCGTCAAGCTTTGATTCTTTGTGCTTTGGTTGCTGTTGCCTTTGGAGGAAGTAAGAAAAAAATAATAATTAAAATTGTGGAGTTTTAAGTGAATTTTTGGACTCCCTGCAATTAAGTTTGTGTATCTTATGTAATCCCTTATCATGAATGGCTCCCATTTAGACCACAAATTCAGTTCATCGACTAGTTTAGACACTAAAACTTAAAAATCCGATTTTTTACAGCCCTCAGAAATTCAGACTTCCAGAGTCGAATTGTCGGTGGTGCACCAGCTGTTGAAGGTCAATTCCCATACCAAATTTCACTCCGTACCTTCCCAGCATTGGGACATTTCTGTGGTGGTTCAATCATCAGTGAACACTGGACACTCTCAGCTGCTGTAAGTCATTTAAAGCAATTTATGCATCCTCTAATCCATCAATTTGAATCCAATAGCATTGCACAATCAACAGAACTCCAGCAAATACACGAATCGTTGCCGGAACAATCTTGTTAAATGGCGGTGCTAATCCAATTTTACGTGAAGTCAGCAGTATCGTTAATCATCCAGAATATGACAGTGTAAACATTGCTCAAGAGTAAGCTTTACCGTCCATTTAAGTTCAAGGCTTAATTCATCTAAAATATTAATTTTTTCTTGCAGTGTTTGCGTCGTCCGAGTAACTGTTCCATTCGTTTGGTCACCAAATGTACAACCAATTCGTGTTGGAAATGAATTTATTGGTGGTGGAGTTACAGCTGTTGTTAGTGGATGGGGTGGAATTTTAGTCACAGGAGGTGCAGCACCAAAGTAAGTTGAAATTGTGAATAGTTGAGTTTAAGTTTGGATTTAAGAGTTCTGTGGCTAGTTGACTATCCTTGATAGACTCTTGGATCTCTTTGGAGTGCTCAAGAGTTTATAGCACCTTAAATGTGTCAAGTACCTTTGAGTACAAGCCTTAAATGAATTAAAACTTCTTCACACAGCAACCTTCAATGGATTGCCAAGCAAACAATTACTAATGCAGACTGCCGTACCCGTATGGGAGTCAATAATGAGAGATTCGTCGTTGACAGCAAAATCTGTACATTTACACAAGCTGGACAAGGAATTTGTCAAGGAGACAGGTGAGAAACCTGAAATTTTGTGAAAAAATCAGCATAAAATTAATTTAAATTCTTAATTCCTCAGCGGTGGCCCATTGACAGCTGGTGGATCAGTCATTGGTATTGTCTCATGGAACATTCCATGCGCACGTGGATTCCCTGATGGATTTGATCGTGTTTCACACTGGAACAGTTGGATTAATGATAATGCTCGTGATTAAATGATGAATAAAGATGAAAATTTTATGATTTTTTGTTTTGAAGATTTTTGTAGCTTTATTGGAATCAGGGAGGAGGAGGGGATGGGGAGAGGTGGGTTTGGAGGTCCCTTCAAGGTTCGCTACGTGGCCTTTAAATAAATTTCTTTTAAATATCATCTTATTTATCTAATTTTTCAAATATTGTCACACATGTTTTGCTCAACAAATTCCTTTCATATTCCGTCGTAGCTTAATACATGATAACCGAGGTCGGATGTATCAAAATAGAAATAATCATCATTTCAGCAAAATATCTTTTTCCCATACTCAAGTTGAATATTTTTTGATAAGATAATTGAGTTGGAAAATCCCATAAAGTTCATGGACGTAATGTCAAGTTTAGTTGATTTAGTTCTATTTTCAGATTTTTACAGATTTTTGCAGCCTTTAATGAAGTTTAATGCCCTACAGACCTTCATACCTCCTCCTTCAAAGACATTATTCCCGATTTTCTAGCACTAAACCCAAAATTCTACTTCACATCAAGACAAACTTCATCAAAAGCTCCTTCCAAAGCTTCCAAAGCTTTCAACTCTCGCTTAAACCTAAATAAGCACATCATATCCACAACTCATCAACCAATAAAAATTCACTTTATTTCAATCCAATCGAAAAAAAGTGTCACGATGTCAAAAACATTCGTGGATGTCCCGTCAAGTGGAAGGAGAAACGAAAATTCACGAAAATTTCACAATAAAAAGTGAGAAAGTTGTTTGGTCCATGTCATATCGATCTAATTTATCGAATAGTGATAAAATATGAATATTAAAGTGATCTTAGTGTGCGCCTTGGTTGCAATCTTCTTTGCACAGGTAAGTTGGTGACTTGGGTTGGGATCTTCTTTAAATTTGACTAGCTTTGTACAAGATATGAGTTGTATAGTAATTGTGGTGTCATGGGTTGTATACTGTCTTGTAGGCTAGGTTTTGCGTCTCTAGCCCAAACATACCTTAAAAACATCTTTAAAATTAACAAGAGTGTCAAACTGTTATCAATAACAAGCCCTTGATAGCTACCAGCTCCTTAAATCCAGCAAATATGACTCATATATAGACACAACCCTAATCTTAAAGTACTAAGCAATTTCAATCACAATTTTAAATTTTCCACATCGTATCCAGGTTGCAGAAGGCGGACCAATCGCCAATTTTGTGGGCTTCATCATTTCCCTTCTGTTCTCCTTATTTGAAGTCATGCTGTCAGTTGTGTTCGATGTCAAGTCGTTCACAAGCTTGTCAAATCCCACAGCAAACGCAACGATGCCAGGTTTTGCATCTGTGAGTATTTTTATAGCTTGATCTGTGAAATCCTTGATAAATGTGTTGATTCCATTTCTAGAGCGTTGGTGGTGGTCGCTTCACAGTCATCATGAAAGGAACATTCAATTTGATTGCCATGATATCGGCAAACATTCAAGCAATTCAGTCAGGATCAGGATCAGCATCGTCTAATTCCTCATCAAGTGCTAATTCTACAACATCCTCGAACTCAACGACAAGCTCAAACTCAACGACATCTTCGAACTCAACAACAAGCTCAAACTCTACATCCAGTGGATTAACAACCGGTGCTAGCGCTATCAGCTTGATTGATACCTGTGCTTGGGTCTATCAGGACAGTTCAGTTGGAATTGCCTACTTGATGGTCTCAATTTTGGCACTTTTCTATGGACAATCTGTCTCAGCACCGCCATATGCTGATCTTGGTATACCAGCTCTACCTGCAAATACCTCTGGTGCTGGAGTTCCGCAATCTGTACAAATTAAAGCAGCAATTACTTATATTAATGTTACTATTAACTTTATTACCTTGACTGGTCAACAATTTGAAGATTTACAAGGTCCAGTTACCACAGATTGTGGATGTCCAAATACAACTAGTGTTGCGCCACTCGTTGCTGAATGGGAAGCTATAATGGCTGCTCTTGAAGCTTTCGCTAGTGGATCAGCATCTTCTAATTCTACATCTAATTCAACATCAACAAGTAACTCAACAACGACAAGCAACTCAACAACTACGACAAATTCAACAACATCAACTAATTCAACATCCTCGTCAAATTCGACAACAATTGCTGGATCTATTGATATTGCTGCTAATCTTACAGTTGCCCTCCAGAACCTCCAAGCATTGCTTATGCAAGAAGCTACTTGTGCTCCATGCCTAGCTGCAAATGCCAAAAAGAGTGGTGTTCGTGAATTTGGACCATGTAAAGCTGCTGGCTCTGCATGTGCCAGATCAGGACAAAGGAAAGTCAAGCGTAAGGCACGATTGGAGAAGATGCGTGCCAAGTGTCGTCGTGCAGTTGGTAACAGAATGAAAGGATCAATGAAGAAGCGTGTCCGTAGTCGTGCAAAGAAATTCGGAAAGGCTGCAAAGTCAGGAGTTAGACGATACCGCAAGAACATCAAGTTTGTCTACATTCCACCAGTCATGGCTTCACTTAATGCATATGCAGCATTGATGGCATCTTTAAGTGACAGCATCTCATATCAATCTGAATCGGCTTTGAACTCAACAGACTCTGCATGTAACTCAACATCAAACAGCACAGATGAGGCTGTAATTAATGCAACAACCGCTGTTACTGATATGTTTGTCAACTTTACTGCTATGGTCATCAATAATACTGTTGCACATCCCAATTGTACTCAATATGCTGACATGGCTCTTTCAATGGTCTCTCAAATCAACGAGCAAATCATTGCATGCGGAAGTCAGTCTGATTCTGCTCAGTCATCAATCTATGCAAATGTTACAATCAGTATTGTTGCAATGGCTCAAGAATACAATAACTTTGCATCTATGTCTGATAAGTGTACCAGATCATTTGCCAATAGTTGGTTGTGGATGTACATTAAGTGGGTCTTCTATCGAATGGGAATGACTTCTGGAGTTCCTAACTTCCTCGCTTGTCAAACTAAGGTTTGTGATTTACTTAACAAATACTTGAAACTAAACGTATCCCTTAGAACTGAACTTATCATTAGAAATTGAACTTATCCTTTAAAAACTGAACTTATCCCGAGAAAAGAAATGTTTCCTTAGAAACGAAATCGGTTTTAAAAACTGAGCTTATTCTTCAGGAACTAAACTCATCCTTAGAAACTGACCATATCCTTAAAAACTGAACGTATTCTTAGAAGCTGAACTCATTATTCAAAAACTGAACTTGACCCTTAGAAACTGAACATATTCTTCGGGAACTAAACTCATCCTAAGAAACTGACCGTATCCTTAAAAACTGAACTTATTCTTAGAAGCTGAACTCATTATTCAGAAACTGAACTTGACCCTTAGAAACTGAACTTATTCTTCAGGAACTAAACTTATCCTTTGAAACTGAACTTATCCTTAAAAACTGATTTTACTGAGTCCTTCTTTAATCCTTCATTAATAGGCTCAAAGCAGTCTTACAGCATTCTTGGCATCATTTAATGCCACAGTCAGTGCCACGATTTCAGCAGCAAGTGCAAATAATTCTGAAGTTCAAAGCTCTGAAGCAGCTTGTATTGAAAGTAGTCTTGCGGAAGCAGCCGTTATTTTAGAAATGTTTGAGGCAGCATATCAAAACTGTACAGATCCAGGATCCGTAACAGTTCCAGCAGAGACTACAACAACGACCAGTACAACCACCACTACAACTACAACAACAAGTAGGCTTAAATTGTTTAAAGTTTAGAGTTTTGTGTGAATTTTTTTATTTTTCCTAAAGCAACCGCAGCACCAACAACAACAACAACTAAGGCTGCTAATGCACCATTCACATGTAAGATATGAAATTTAATTGTGACTTCTTGTAAGAAATTGTTTCCTTTTTTTTCTAGATCCATTGTGTACTTTGATCATGTCAACAACATGCTCACTGGGTGGAGCAGGATGTACATATCCACTTATCTCATCTGCTGGCTGCTGTCCATCTGGCAAAACATTAAACACTGGTCTCGGTGGACGTGGTTGTTGCAAATAGAGTCTACAGCGACAGTTAAATTGAAGCAATAATTTTTCCTATTTCTTGATGTAGAACATTCTATGTACTTAATTTTGATAAAATGTGGCATTAAACATATAATCTGAAATGTGGACGAGAAACTTTATTTTAAACTATTTATTTATTTTTTAATCCTTTCACAAACTCAACTTATCCCATAGGAACTGAACTTATCCTTAATAACTGGTCTTATCTTAAGCAACAAAACGTTTTCTTTTCAACTGAATTTACTTTGTACATTAAAGACGATTTTCTAAGAATAAGTTTATAAATAGAAAGTAAACTTATCCTTCAGATACTAAGCTTATCCTATAAAAGCTCAATTTATCTAAATTTAACTAATCTACTTATAAAAACTTAATTTATCGCTTGTTTAAAACTGAACTCATCATACGCTGAACTCATTCTTAGAAACTGAACTCATCCTAAGAAACTGAACTCATCCTAAGAAGCTAAACTCATTTCAAAAACTGAATTCTTCCTTGGACGCTAAAATTCTCCTTAAAACTGACCTTATACTTAAAAGCTGTACTTATCAATAAAAATTGAATTCATCCTTAGAAGTTGAACTCATCAATGAAAGCTGAACATATTCTTAGAAACTGAACTCATCATTCGAAGCTTAACTTTTCTTTAAAGCTGAACTCATTCTTAAAAACTGTGCTTATCCTTATAAATCTGAACTCATCCTTAGAAACTGTATTTATCCCTAAAAATTTGAACTCATCCTTAAAAATTGAGTTCATCCTTAAAAAGTGAACTCATCCTTGGATGCTAAACTTTGCCTTAAAACTGAACTCATTCTTAGAAACTGAACTCATCCTAAGAAACTGAACTCATCCTAAGAAGCTAAACTCATTTTAAAAACTGAATTCTTCCTTGGACGCTAAAATTCTCCTTAAAACTGACCTTATACTTAAAAGCTGTACTTATCAATAAAAATTGAATTCATCCTTAGAAGTTGAACTCATCAATGAAAGCTGAACATATTCTTAGAAACTGAACTCATCATTCGAAGCTTAACTTTTCTTTAAAGCTGAACTCATTCTTAAAAACTGTGCTTATCCTTATAAATCTGAACTCATCCTTAGAAACTGTATTTATCCCTAAAAATTTGAACTCATCCTTAAAAATTGAGTTCATCCTTAAAAAGTGAACTCATCCTTGGATGCTAAACTTTGCCTTAAAACTGAACTCATTCTTAGAAACTGTACTTATCATTATAAAACTGAACTCATCCTCAGATGCTAAAATTTGTCTTTAAACTGAACTCATCTTTAGAAACTGTATTTATCCTTAAAACTGAACTCATCCTTATAAAGTGAATTCATCCTTAAAAACTAAACTCATCGTTAAACAGAACTTATCCTTATAAGCTGAACTCATCCTTAAAAACTGAACTTATCTTCAGAAAGTGAACGAATTCTTCTAAAACTGAATTCATTCATGGAATTGACCTAATCCTTTTGTATCAAATTTATCATGATTTTAGGAAATTTTCAGCTTAACCTCTTTTGACTCTAGTGCCGATAGTTCACAGTTCAAATAAATCTACGTGGCAGAAAATGAGTTAAATTAGTTCAAGTAGATGCAGAATCCACAAAACTTCAAGGTTTTGTCCTCAAAACAACTTTTTAAATAACAAATATTCATCATGTCATGTGATTGTTTAGACAAGTGCTTCATTTGCCAGTTTCTATTGTTTTTCAACCTAAATTTTGCGTCTCATTTCAGTCAATAGACACGTCAGTTAAATTCCAACGCGATGCTGACTTGCTGGCAATTTTCATTGTGAAACTTTTTAAAGCTTTTCGCTTCGTGTTGACGAAAAAAATTCGTCCAATGAGAAAAAAATTGAGAAAATTTTAAGATTGAGGCGGAGACAAGTGCTCCGAAGTGTCGAGGATGTTCGTTTGACAAAAAGTTGCTTCCGATCGTTCCATTTCAGTCACACTTGTCTCATGATTAAGTGAAACATGAGGAGAATTTTTATTATTTTTTTTGTCGCTTTTTTTGGACCGGTGAGAATTTTTTTTAATTTGTGAATTAAACTTTTTTATTTTTTTTATTTTTTTTTGATTTCTTTTAATTTTTTTGATTTTTTTTTAATTTTTTAATTTTTTTAAAACTTCTTTTTGTTTTATTTGAATTTTTTTATGAATTTTCGGTTTTTTTTTGATTTTTTTGTATTTTTTACTTTTTGGAATTAATTATTCAAGTTTCAAAAAACCGTTAAAAATTCAAATTTCAAGAATCCGTTAGAAATTCAAATTTCAAAAATCCGTTGAAAATTCAACCATTTAAAATCCGTAACATTCAAAAATTTCTAATCTCAAATTTTCTCAATTCCTCAGACCATAAATGGACAGTCCACAAATCCATTTACTCCGTACTGTGATCAACTCACAGCACTTTTGCCGCAAATTCAGTCATCGACAGTGAATGTTACATGCACAACTCCACTGATCCAAGACACTCAAATTGCCTTACATTACTGCACAACTTTTATGACAAGCTCATTAAGTCCAACATCAACTGCGACTTTCCTAGCAACAATTTCTGGACTAACTGCACAGATTCAAGGCTTGTTTGCTGCTTGCAATAATATTAGTGAAAGTGCAACAACAACAACCACAACAACTTCAACAACATTACGTAAGTAATTTTAAATTTTGGTTGCTGAATTATTTTTGAGGTTATTTTTTGTGAATTTTGACAGCACCTGACCAGAGATTGACTTTGTTGCCTCAATTTGAATTCATCATCAGCAACTTGACATCTTTGTTCAATGTGTCATCAGCATCGTCAGCTAGCAGCTGCTGTTTACAGCCAATTAAGAATGACATTGACTTTTTGGTCAGTTGGACACAAACTCTCAAGTCTGGCATCTTATCTCAAAGTTATGGACTAGAAATGTCCTACATTCAGAGTCTTTACAGCAACATTCAACAACTTTATTCAAACTTCACAGATTGGTAATTTTTTTGATATTCTACAACGGAAATTTTGAATTTAAATTTTTTTAAATCTAGTCAAACAGTCGGAAATTGTTGTAATTTAACAACCGTCTTAGCAACAACAACAACGATTGCTACAACAACTGTCACATCGACAACAACATCTACAACAACCACAACAACCAAAGATCCACGCTTAGCTTTAATAACACCATTACAGGAGCTTCTTGCACAATTGAATGCCTTACTACAGTCAGTTCAGACTTACAATGGAACACAGACAGGATGTCCATCATTCGTAGCTAATTTCTCAAATTTGATCGGTTTAGTTCAAACTTTAATTAACGACATGATGACAATTGACTTTGGCACATGCTCAGCTACATTGAGTAGCCTACAATCACAGGTAGCACAAGAGGCTGCAAACTGGGCATTGTATTGCACAAATGACGTCACAACAACAACTTCTACAACAACTACAACTACAACAACAACCATTGATCCACGCATAGCTTTGGTTAATTTAGCTCAACAACTTCTTGCCAATATCAATGCATTATTGCAGAGCATGCAAAGTTATAATGGATCTCAAGCTGGAGTTCCTTTATTTGTCAGTAATGCATCATCAGCAGCTACTCAGGCACAAGATTTGATTACAAACATGTTCACAATTGAGTTTTCGATTTGTTCTGGAACTTTGACAAACTTGCAAAATTTCTTTAGTCAACTTGCTGCTGCATGGGCTTCTTATTGCATTAATGATGTTCCTACAACATTGGCACCAACTACTTTGGCTCCAACAACTGAAGCTCCAACAACTGTAGCACCAACAACTTTAGCACCAACAACTGAAGCTCCAACAACAATCGATCCTCGTTTAGCTTTAGGACCTTTAGCAGATCAACTTCTTGCCAATTTAAATGCATTGATATTGAGCATGCAAAGTTATTCTGGATCACAAGTTGGTGTTCCTTCATTTGTTGGCAATGCAACATCTGCAGTTGCTCAGCTACAAAGCTTGATCGCTAATATGTTCACAGTTGACTTTTCAATTGGATCTGCAAACCTGGCAAGTCTAGAAAGTTTCTTAAGTCAGCTGGCTGAAGCGTGGGCTTCTTACTGTGCCAATGATGTGCCTACAACTGTGGTTTCTACAACTGAAGTTCCTACGACCGAGATTCCAACAACTTTAGCGCCAACAACCGAAGTCACAACAACTTTAGCACCAACAACCGAAGTCCCAACAACTTTAGCGCCAACAACCGAAGTCCCAACAACCGAGATTCCAACAACAATTGATCCACGTCTAGCCTTAACAACTCCATTGCAGCAGCTTCTTACCCAACTGAATGCCTTACTACAGTCAGTTCAGACTTACAATGGAACACAGACAGGATGTCCACCATTCGTAGCAAATTTCACAAATTTAATCGGTTTAGTTCAAGCTTTAATTAATGACATGATGACAATTGATTTTGCAACATGCTCAGCAACATTAAGTAACTTACAATCTCAAGCAACGCAAGAAGCTGCAAATTGGGCATCATATTGTGCAAATGATGTACCTACAACAGTGGTTCCGACCACTGAAGTTCCTACAACTTTAGCACCAACAACGGAAGCTCCAACAACTTTAGCACCAACAACGGAAGCTCCTACAACATTAGCGCCAACAACCATTGATCCAAGATTGGCTTTAGGACCTTTGGCACAACAGCTTCTCGCAAATCTTATTGCATTGTTGCAGAGCATACAAAGTTATAATGGATCTCAAGCGGGAGTTCCATTGTTCATCAGTAATGCAACGTTAGCAATTAATCAGACGCAAGATTTAATATCCGGTATGATGACAATTGAGTTCTCAATTTGTTCTGCAACCTTAACAAGTTTAGAAAGTTGGCTCAGTCAGTTAGCTGCAGCATGGTCTTCTTACTGTGCAAATGATGTACCTACAACTTTAGCACCAACAACGGAAGCTCCTACAACATTAGCACCAACAACTGAAGCTCCAACAACTTTAGCACCAACAACTGAAGCTCCTACAACTTTAGCTCCTACAACATTAGCACCAACAACTGAAGCTCCAACAACTTTAGCACCAACAACTGAAGCTCCAACAACTGAAGCTCCTACAACTTTAGCACCAACAACATTAGCACCAACAACTGAAGCTCCAACAACTTTAGCTCCTACAACATTAGCACCAACAACTGAAGCTCCAACAACTTTAGCACCAACAACTGAAGCTCCTACAACTTTAGCTCCAACAACTGAAGCTTCTACAACATTAGCACCAACAACTGAAGCTCCAACAACTTTAGCACCAACAACTGAAGCTCCTACAACTTTAGCACCAACAACTGAAGCTCCAACAACTGAAGCTCCTACAACTTTAGCACCAACAACATTAGCACCAACAACTGAAGCTCCAACAACTTTAGCTCCTACAACATTAGCACCAACAACTGAAGCTCCAACAACTTTAGCACCAACAACTGAAGCTCCTACAACTTTAGCTCCAACAACTGAAGCTTCTACAACATTAGCACCAACAACTGAAGCTCCAACAACTTTAGCACCAACAACTGAAGCTCCTACAACTTTAGCACCAACAACTGAAGCTCCTACAACTTTAGCACCAACAACTGAAGCTCCTACAACTTTAGCTCCAACAACTGAAGCTTCTACAACATTAGCACCAACAACTGAAGCTCCTACAACTTTAGCACCAACAACTGAAGCTCCTACAACTTTAGCTCCAACAACTGAAGCTCCAACAACTTTAGCACCAACAACTGAAGCTCCTACAACTTTAGCACCAACAACTGAAGCTCCTACAACTTTAGCTCCAACAACTGAAGCTTCTACAACATTAGCACCAACAACTGAAGCTCCTACAACTTTAGCACCAACAACTGAAGCTCCTACAACTTTAGCTCCAACAACTGAAGCTCCAACAACTTTAGCACCAACAACTGAAGCTCCTACAACTTTAGCATCAACAACTGAAGCTCCTACAACCTTAGCATCTACCACAACCTTAGCATCTACCACAACAACCGTAGCATCTACCACAACAACAACGGTTGCAACAACAACTACCCTTCCACCGCTTAATACAGGAATTTGTAACAAGCAGTACTCATTTTTAGGTATGGCAGTAACAGCCTGCATAGTCAATGGAGCATTCACATTCCAACAAGCTTATAATAAATGCCATCAAAATGGAATGATTCAGCTAGCTATGGTCAATGGAAAGCAATGGACAGCATTTAATGCTTTTGCTCTTATTGCTGCTCAAGTAGACACAAACTTCTGGCTGAATGGACTTCATGATGGAACTGCATGGTATGCTTACTATCCAGAACCAGTTGCAGTGTATTCTGGAATAGCATCGATGATTACAGGAACTCCATCGCCTGGAGCAAATTGTTTAAGACTTTATAAGCCTGGACCTTTGAAGGCATGGACATTTATGGCTAATAGCTGTGCAGCAACTATGTCTGCCTTGTGTCAATTCAATAACTAATGTTGATTGATTATTTTTTAAAATTTATTGTCATTTTTGGAATCACTTAAGGAATTTAAATAAAAAAGTTCTGGACGTAATTTTATTTCAATTTGCTCTATAATTTTTGAATGAGAAAAACAAATAATTCAATTCGCTGATTTTAATCCTCAAAATATTTGAAGTTTTAATTTGTTTTAATTTGTTTTTAATAGTTTTGAATTTGCACTGAAATTTTGAATTTGCTCTGAAATTTTGAACTTGCTCTGAAAATTTGAACTTGCTCTGAAAATTTGAATTTGCTCTAAAATTTTGAATTTGCTCTGAAATTTTGAATTTGCTCTGAAATTTTGAATTTGTTCTGAAATTTTGAATTTGCGCTGAAATTTTGTAATTGCTCTGAAATTTTGAATTTGCTCTAAAATTTTGAATTTGCTCTGAAATTTTAAATTTGCTCTAAAATTTTGAACTTGCTCTGAAATTTTGAATTTGCTCTGAAATTTGGAATTTGCCCGGAAATTTTTGAATTTGCTCTGAAATTTTGAATTCGCTTTGAAATCTTGAAATTGCGCTAAAATTGAAAAAAGTACAATAATAAAATTTTAAGAAAAAAAATAAAAAATTTGAAGATTATTATAACAGCTGTTACGGCCTCCTCTATTGTCTCATTATTAGCTGGCAATAAGACGGAGAAATGAAGTCATTTCTGCAAACATCTTCGGCATATTTTTCAGTCGACAAAGGAGAAAATTTTTCAAGTTGTTCAAATATTTTTGTAGAAATGGAAACACAGTTTGTGTATTTGGAACATTCCATCGGCTTTCTTTTTGAGGCCACAGAAATAAAGAAAACAAAAGAAAAAAAATAAGAATCAGAAAATTTCTGTTTATTTGTTAAAAATCTTAAAAACTCTCAAAAACTTAAATTCCTTAAAATGTTCAAAAAAGCTTCAAAAGAGCTTTCAAAAAGCTTTCCGAAATAAGCTCAAAATAAGCTTTTGCAAAAAGCTTCGAAAACTCCGCCCACAAATTCATCAAATGACAATTTTTCTTAGTTCCATCCCCAAAAAACAGCCGAACTGAGACGAAGTCGTTGAATAAAACTTTTTGACTATCATTTTCGGGCACTCACAATTGTTTCAACTGTGAAAAATGAATAAAGTTATTTTAAGTGCCTTTGTGCTGCTCCTTGTGGCTCAGGTGAGGAAAAGTTTTTTGCTTACGTGGAAATTTTTTTATTTAAATATTTTTTAAGATTTAAAGTTGAAAATTTTCTTTTGTTTTTAATTTTGTACTATTTAAGTTTTTCAAAGAGATTTTTCATTTTTTTAAATTTTATAATTTTTGATTTTGTTTCAATATTAAGTTTTTTGAAATCTTTTTAAAAATTTAAAATTTTTGGATTTATAAACTTAAAATTAAAAAATTAAAATTCTCATTTAACAAGAGTTTTTCAGTTTTTGCAACTTTATTATTTTTTTTTAAAAAATTGAAAAATTCAAAAATAAAAAAAAATAAAAAATTATTAAAATTTTTAAAAAAGTAAAAATTTGAACAAAAATAAATTTTTAAAATTGAAAGTTAACAAAAAAAGTCAATATTGAAAATTTTGTCAAACTATCATCTAACCTCCAAACCCTAATTTGATTTCCAGGGCATCGAATCACAATTTCCTATAATAAATTTCGTGGGGACATTGATAGTAAACTTACTAAGTGCACCGTTGGCTGCCATCACATCATCCTTTGTATCAACCATAGCCTACAATGTTCTCAGCTTTACTGGCTTCTCACTCACTTGGCAGTACTCGCAATCAGATTTTCTGATCTATGTGAAGCCACCGGCTGTTATCTGCTCATCGACTATGAGCACATCGGTGAGTAAATTTTTCATTATTTATTTGTATTTTTAAAAATTTTATTTTGGCACAAAAAAACTGGCACAAATATGGCTCAAATCTACCATAAATCTGGCATAACGTTCCTATAAATCTGGCTTTTATTGTAAATCTAGCATATATTTGTTATAAATCTAGCACGAATCTAGCACAAAGATGCGAAAAAAATATGGCACAAAGATGCGAAAAAAATCTGGCACAAAGATGCGTAAAAAATCTGGCACAAAGATGCGAAAAAATCTGGCGCATATCTGCCATAAAAAGACAAAATCTGGCACAAACTGACTTAAAATTTATAAAAATTTCTCATTGTAATTCCAGACAATTCAACTAGTCAGCCCAACACTAAAAGGTCTCATCACGACCATCAATACAACAGTTTCTGGAATTGATGCGAATGTCGCATCTTTCACATCAACTCTTAACAACAATGCATACTCAAATTGTGGACGAACTTTAGCATCACTTGCTGTAAATCTTTACGATCAGACACCAAGACGCTTAGGCTACTCAATGATATCCATTGCAACAGTCATGGGTGGTCGACGACCAAATCAATCACCATTTGGATTGACACCTTATGATCCAGTCTATCCAGTTCCATCAACAATACTTCCACGCGATACTGACAGCTTCCGTTCGCAGGTTGGAGTTCAAGCTAAGAACTTTATTTTGTACTTGCCGTACCTGTTTAAGGATTTAAATGATGCTGCAGCTGCATATCAAAATTTAAGAAGTCAAGTACGCGGTGGCTGTATATGCCCATCAAGTACGACAGTTTCAAGCCTCATAACTCAATGGACGAGCCTCAATACATCAATAGCTGGATTTACAGCCTCAACAGCCACTACTAAGACACTTATTCAAGTCGTCGGTTCCGCAATTCTAACAAATGTGACTGGAACCTTCAATGCGACCTACTCGTGGATGAATTCAGTCCTTAGCTGTACTCAATGCCTTATTGGAAGTTTAAAGAACAATGGATCGAGATGTGTCAAGACTTACTGCAATGACAAGCCACAGAATGACAGTATTAGTGCTGGATTAAATGATACAGCATGCACAGCTTCTGGATTGAGAGCAATCGGTCGATTCCGTAACAATTTACAGCTTGATTATGTGTTGGCAAGAAATGTCGAGCTTCGAGCTCAAAGCTTCTTAATGTCTCGAGTCTTTCGATATGTCAATGACCATTCAGGATGTGTAGGCAAAGGAATCGTCAAGATTGACTCAAATACTGGACTATTAAGGAACAGCATCTTTAAGAAGAGAATGAAGACATTCAAAGGCCATATGGACAGCTTCCAATTGAACATCAAAAACTCATACAATGCATTAAGCCTGAACATAAACAACTCAATTGCTACATTTAATTCCTACATCGACTCAACAATCCTTAGTTCCACAGCTGTGGTTTCATCAACAGCTGTGACATTCGCTGAGACAGTCATCAATTCTTCAAGCCTCTATCCATGCTGTCAACAGTATGCTGGACAGGCACTGGATATCCAAGATAAATTCCAAAGTGATGTCAAATCATGCATGCAAAACACAGCTGCAGCTGTTAACAATATTGCAGCCAGCATGACAACAGATTTGACAAGTCATGGCAAACATTTTAACAGATACACAAGCACTGTCGATTCCTGCATCAATACTTACTGCAAACGATGGCCATGTGTTAATGCCTTCCTGTTAATTCCATCATTCGACAAACACGTGTCTAACTGCGTCACAGCTGTGAATACAGGACTTACTGGATATAACCCAAATGTTTTTACCATTGGAAATGCAAGTATTGCTTCTGTAGCTGCAAATATAGCTACAGCTAATGTCACATTTAATCAGTGCATTAATGTAGCTGTTAGTAATGCACAGCAGAGCCTCTTGACTGTCCAAAACAACTTCAATACCTGTAAAAAGGTCGGAACCTGCACTAATGGAACCACAGACATGCGACCAATTTTAGGTCAAACTATTGACATCATTTTTGCTAACCTTACGGCACTTTTAAGTTTCAAAGGCAATACAAGCATTGATCCTGAATGTCTTAGAGCTGTTATGGCTGATGCTGCTTTCTTGATGAACCAAACGATGGCACTTAACAGTTCCTTGATGTCACAAAGTTATGAGACTGAGGAGAAGGTCTTGAACTTCATTTCTTCATCACTTGCTGCTTTGAGCTACAATTTTAGCCTTTGTAAGTCTGACAACCGAACAATCTTGTTGCCTAGAATCGATCAAGCAATAGCTGATTTATCTAACCTTTGGAACTTGACCATGAACATCACTGGCTTAAATCCAGAGTGCCTGAACATGTCACAACAGAACATCAGCGGTGTTATGGACATGGCATTAAGTCTACAGACACAACTGAGCCTGACTGACTATGTCGTTGATTTCGCAGCTGTGGATGCTCTGCCAAGCATTGTTGAGCAGCTACGTGCTGAGTTTAATGACTGCATGAGTGCCCCTTATGACAATAGAACTGCTTTCATCCCTAACATCACTCAAATAATTCTGGACCTTCAGACTATGATTAACATAACCTTAAACTTGACTATGGATCCAAGCTGTGCTGTTCCATTGCTGGCTAACCTTACATCTGTCTTGGCTATAGCTGACACTTTACCTACAATGATCTTCAATTTTACATACGACGTGGACTTCCAAATTGTTGCTGGTGCTCAAAATCTGACAAATGAGCTTGAAGATGCACTAGCTGCATGTCAAGTCTATGACAATCGGACCTTACTTCTACCTGGTATCAATCAAGTCATTAATGATATCAACAACTTACTGAACTTAAGTGCTAGTTCCACTGGTGATCCTGCATGCTTTGCATCACTTATAGCCAATATGTCAGCAGTTCTTAATGTGACATTGGATCTTCAAGTGTCACTGACTGACTACTCGTATGACGTTGGATTAAGTATTATTGGTGAACTGCATCTTGTGATGGCTGAGTTCCAAGCTGCCTTCAATTCATGCTTAAATTATGATAATAGAACTGCACTTGCTGCAGATGTCGGCAAAATTCTAGCTAATGCGACAGCACTTGGCAGCTTGATTGCTAATTCAACAGCTAGTTCCTATTGCCTTGGTCCATTACAGCAGAATATCAGCATCCTAGCAAATGTGTCAATCATGCTGCAGACCGACATCTACAACTTTACATATGACATTGGACTAGCGATTGTAACTGAGATGCAGTCATATTTGGCACAGCTACAAGCTTCATATGATGCATGCTTGCTCTTTGACAATAGAACCTTGTTACATCCTGAAGTCATAGCTGATTCAGCAAGTCTTAATGCCTTTGCAAACATCCTTATGTCATCGACAGCAGATCCTTATTGTCTTGGTCCAATTCAACAAAATTTGAGTGTTTTACTGACCATGCAAGGAGCAATTGAGTCTGGACTATTTAATAGCTCATATGCAGCTAGCTTGGCTGTCATGATCAACTTTGATACTTCATTTGCTCAACTTCAAGCTGCTTATAATGCTTGCCTTACTTTTGACAATCGGACATTGCTGGTTCCAACAATAAATAATATTGTCAGTGACTTTACAGCTCTTGCAGCTACACTAGCGAATTCTACAGCCAGTTCTTACTGTCTACTTCCACTACAAGCTAATTTAACAATGCTGCTTAATGTCTCAGGCACAATATCCACAGATGTCTTCAACTACAGCTATGAAATTGGTGCTTCAATTATTTCCGGATATCAGATGGCATTGGCACAAGCACAAGCTGCTTATGCTGCATGTTTGACATTTGACAATAGAACTTTATTGGAAATGGAACTAACTGGAGATTTAGCGAATCTGACAATCTTTGCGAATATCCTAGCAAACTCAACTGCTGATCCTTACTGCCTTGGTCCAATCCAACAGAACTTCAGTCTTCTAATGTCTGTAGCTACTGCTATGCAGTCTGGACTATACAACACAACATACTCGGCTGGTCTAGCAGGTTTAATTGACATGGATGCTGCATTTGCTCAGATTCAGGCTGCTTATGCTGCATGTTTAGTGTTTGACAACAGGACCTTGTTGACTCCATCTTGCAATGCTGTATTGCTTGATCTTACAGCACTTAACAATTTGATTGCTAATTCTACTGCCAGTTCATACTGCTTAGGACCTTTACAGACCAACTTGTCTGTCTTAATGACTGCATCTGCATCCTTACAAATTGACATGTTCAACTATAGCTATGATATTGCAGCTACAATTATTGCTGGATTCCAACTGTCCATAGCTGAAGCACAGGCTGCTTACAATGCTTGCTTACTATTTGATAACAGAACATTGCAGCATCAAGAACTTCAAGGAGATTTATCAAATTTGACAATCTTAGCCAACTTAATCATGTCATCAACAGCTGCACCTTACTGCTTAACTCCAATCCAACAAAATTTGTCAGTAATCCAGTCCATATCTCAAGCTATCCAGTCTGGATTGTTCAGTTCAACGTACGATGAGAATTTAGAAGACATGATAAGCTTAGACGCAGCTGTGGCTCAACTTCAAGCTGCTTTCGATGCTTGTCTACTGTTTGACAATAGAACACTGCTAGCTGCTGACTTGCCAGGCATCATATCAAGCATTAATTCAATATCAGCTCAAATATCATCTGCAGTTGCTGATCCAGCATGTTTAAGTGCCGTTCAAGCTAATTTGACACTTATGCTGAACATTTCACAGTCACTGCAGATTGACTTGTTCAATTACACTTATGACATTGGATTGGCGATTATTGGAAGTCTACAGATGTCAATAGCTGATGCTCAAGCTAGACTAGCTACATGCTTAGCGGATCCGAGAATTTCAATGCTTCCAGTAATCTCAGGTGCAGCTGCGAATGCATCAGCATTGAGCAGCCTTTTGGCTAATTCTACTGCCAGTTCCTACTGCTTACTTCCTCTGCAACAAAATGTGTCATTGCTGCTTAATATTTCACAGTCATTCCAACAAGACTTCTACAGCTATGACTATGATATTGGATCAACGATTTTGAACAGCCTTCAAAGTTCTTTAGCTGAGGCACAAGCTGCATATGAAGCATGTCTACTCTTTGACAATAGAACTTTATTGGAAATGGAACTGACTGGTGATATGGCAAACTTAACAGCCTTGATCAACATCATTATGTCCTCAACTGCAGATCCATACTGCCTTACAGCCATCCAACAAAATGCAAGTGCTATTCTGTCCATAGCTCAAGCTATTCAAGCTGGACTCTTTGGCAATTCCTACCTTCAAGGACTAATGCATATGGAAAGTTTAGATGTGTCTGTGGCTCAACTTCAAGCTGCTTATGATGCCTGCTTGCTATTTGACAATAGAACTTTGTTGGTTCCAAAAATAACAGACTTGCAAGCCAATTTAAGTGCTCTTGCAGCTTTAGTAGCTAATTCAACAGCTGATCAGTACTGCTTAGGTCCACTTCAGTACAACCTGACCATTTTACTCAGCATGTCTAATAGTCTCCAAGTTGACATCTTCAACTACAGCTACGAAATTGCTAACACGATCCTTGCTGACTTAGAAGTAGCATTGGCACTAGAACAAGCCAACTACATAGATTGCCTTGCATTTGACAACAGGACATTGCTTCAACCTAATGTCACAGCTACATTGAATGACTTGACAGCTTTGTCGAATACAATTATGTCATCTACAGCTGATCCTTACTGTCTAACAGCAATTCAACAAAATATCAGCATTATGCTGTCTGGTGCTGTCACATTCTCATCGGAACTGTTTAATAATTCATATGAGCTGGACTTGAATGTCTTATCGAGTCTTCAGTCAGCAATGATTGACATTCAGGCTGCTTACAATGCATGTCTAGTGTTTGACAATCGAACTCTCTTAGTTCCATCAATTGCTGCTTTACAAGCTAATTTAAGTGCTCTTGCTAATCTTGCTGGCAATTCCACTGCTGATCAGTACTGCCTTGATCCTCTGCAATACAACTTGACTATGCTGATTAGCATGACTTCGTCTCTTCAAGTTGACATCTTTAATTACAGTTATGAGATTGCAAACTGGATTATTGCTGATCTTGAAGCTTCTTTGGCTATGGAACAATCTGCTTATGCTGCATGCTTGCTGTTTGATAATCGAACATTGTTACAATCGGAACTGGCTGGAGATTTGTCAAATTTGACAGCATTTTACAATTTAATCATGTCTTCAAGTGCTGATCCATACTGCCTTGCAGCTATTCAACAGAACATGACAGTCTTGTACAACTTTGCACAGGCTTTGCAGTCAGGATTATTCAATTACTCTTATGACATAAATGTAGCTGTTATGGCTGAAATAGATGCGACATTTGCAGATCTACAAGTTGCGTATACAGCCTGCCTTAACTTTGACAATAGAACTCTTCTGATTCCAACAGTGTCAAGTGTCTTGGCTAATTTGACAGCTCTAGCTAACATAGCAATCAATTCTACAGCTGATCCTTACTGTCTAGGACCGATCCAACATAATTTGAGCATCTTGGTCGGAGCATCCACAACACTTGAAGTTGACATCTTTAACTATACTTATGATATTGCTGCAAACATTATTGCTGACTTGCAAGCTTCGATTGCTATGGAACAAGCAGCTTATGAAGCATGTTTAACTTTTGACAATCGAACCTTGCTACAGCCTGAAATAAGAGCTGATTCAGCAAGTTTGAATGCCTTTGCTAATATCCTCATGTCATCGACTGCTGATCCTTACTGCTTGACTCCAATCCAACAAAACATGAGTTCCTTAATGACTCTAGCGATGGCTATTGAGTCTGGACTGTTTAACAGCTCATATTCAGCTGCATTAAATCTTATGATTAACTTTGATGTCGAATTTGCTAATCTTCAAGCTGCTTATAATGCCTGCCTTACTTTTGACAACAGGACATTGTTGATTCCAACAATTGCAACTTGTATTGCAGACATCAACAATATCCTAGCCTTGATTCCAACATCGAATGGATCTTTAGCATGCATGACTGAAATGCAACAGAACTTGACACTTCTCCTTAATATGTCCACATCCTTACAAGTTGACATCTTTAACTATACTTATGAAATTGGTTCTGCTATACTTCTTGACTTACAGCTGTCCATATCCAATGCACAGGCTAAATTTACAATTTGTCAGATTTACGATCCAAGAACTGAATTCTTTGCATTCAGTTCCGCAGCTACGGCTAACTTGTCAGCTATTGCTGATAATATTGTGAATATATCATCGACAGCAACATGCCTAGCTGCAGTTCAACAAGCCATGGCACTGCTTAATAATGCATCAGCATCATTCCATGACTCAATCCTAGTCGTGACTTACAATACAAGTCAAGCCAATGCAGCAAGTCTGGCACAAGCAATTCTTGATCTACAAGCAGCTGAAGCAGCCTGCAGGAACTTTGATAATCGAACTGTATTTATGGGAAGCAACTTGGTGTTGGCATCAAATGTCTCTGATCTGATGAATATTATATCCAGTTCAAGTGCTTTGAGTGAATGCGTCAATCCAATTCTACAAGATGCTGTTTGGTTAATGGGAAATATAACTGCATTTAATGGAACCGTACTCAATAGTTCTTATGCAACTGATTTGGCGACATCAAACAGCCTTTATGCAACATTTAGTGGCTTACAAGCTCAATGGAGTGCCTGTCTTGTCTACACAACAACAAGTGAGTTGATTTTTATTTTTTTAATGCGGTTTTTTGATTGAAATTTGACATAAATTCGGAGACTTTAGGGAGTTGATGGCTATGTCAGGCATTTTGTACTGTTTGGTTGACTACTTTGGGTTTAAATAAGGTTCATGCTTAGGGATGTTAGGATTCTTGGATTTAGGAAGCTAAAGCTTGAGCCCGAGCCATGAACCTTGAGCTCTAAACATGATTTGATGGTCAAGATCAAGTTTCATGCTTAGGATTTGAGGATTTAAGCTCATTATTCAAGATTAAGATACACATCCTTATCTTGTACTCTGAGCTTAAACCTTCTGAGCTTGAATCTTAAGTTTGACACCTGCACCAGATCCCTAGTCATCCCTAGGTATACAAGTAGAGTACCCAACATAGACACGATCCCAGTGCATATAGATAAACCACTTTTAGATCAATTCATACTTAAATAGTCAAGTCACAGGAATTCATTGAGAAAGAAGACAAAATTTCGAATTAAAATCGTCCAATTCTCATCTGTTATCATCTTTGAAGCATTAAAAGAGTTGATGAGAACTAATGAGAGTGGGATGAAGACAAAGATCAGCTAAATTGTCTACAAACTCAATGAATTCATAGTCACAGATTTAAAACTCTTTTTTAAAAAATCAATAGAGACTAGCTTTTGGGGGTTGTTCATAAATGACGTCAGAGGTGGGAAAGGTTCACAGGGCTAAAACAAAAGAGCTCTAGATCAGTATTGTCCAAACTTTTTTGAGCCACGGCACACCTAAGGGGTAAGCCATTACCAAGGTCGCACACGGCATGTGGCTTGCTTAATTTACAAAAAATTCTACTGCACACCAGTGTGCCGCGGCACTCAGTTTGGATAGCACTACTCAAAAGATCTAGATCAAAAGAATTTCTTACAATATTTTTGAAAAATTAATGATATTTTGGAAGTCTTTATGGACTGAACCATATTTTTGGATTTCTTCTTAAATGATGTGAATCAAAAAACAATATTTTTAACCCCACTCCCCTTGTGACAAAATTTGTATGAAAACCGAAGACCCCCTTTTCTTCACTGAATGTTTGACGTCACTTATGAATGCCCCTTTTTAGACATAAAGATCTTCTGGTCGAATAATGAATTTTTGCGAAGTGTTGAGTCATAATCTAAAGTTTTAGTGTTCCATGTTAGTGATTTGGATTGATCGGTAAATAAACAATTTCTTTGAATAGATTTTTAAACAAAATTTTCACTTTTCTTTCATTTTAGCTACAACAACCTCGACAACAACCACGACAACGACAACAACAACAACAACATTGGCACCAACAACTCAACCACCAACGACTGTGGCAACAACAAAGACTTATCCAGGTATGTAGTTTTGAAATATATTTATTGGATAGGGGACATGGGCAGTGAGGAAGCATCGGATGATATATTGAATTCTAGGGTACAGATAATGACTTCTGTAAAGGGTGTAGCCAGAAAGTATTAAGGGACTGTCTAAGCTCTTTTCTTGATGGGAATGGCTGCAATTCTGATGAAAGGGAGACAAGACTCACTTAGACTCTCATTTTGACTTACTTTGGGGTCCATTAGACATTTATCCCTAACTTCAGTGGTTCCCAATTTTTTTGGACACACTAATACAGTACAAATTGGGTGTGGTTCTGTACATATGCAATATAACTGATGCATTCGGGACATTTGTAGAGTGTCGAGGATCATAGTTTGAGAACCACTGAACTAAGTCAGCAATAGAACTTTTATAGAAGGTTTAAAAGATCTTTGAGGTTTCATTGATCCTCCTTAAACATTAAATAACATTCAAATGCCCTCTACTTCCTTAAATAACCTTGAAAATGTCCAAATTTAGCTACAACAATCGCCAACCAATGTGGATATTGCTACCAAATTCTATCAATCCAGAGCATTATATCTCTTCTCACAAACTTCTCCAACTATGCCTGCATTTGTCCATCTGGATTTAAATTGATGACCAATTTTGTTGATTTACTCATTGGAGCTACTCATCACTGCTGTACTTATTAATTTACTGGGAAGATAAGCTGCTGATGTCCTTAATTTGTGAAACATTTTGTATCTTTTTTTGATGGAGAAAAGAAATAAAAAAATAATTGAAGATGAAAATTTTGCCCATTCGAACAAATTGGCTTTGTTTTGAATCATTTGAACTGAATATTTGAGATTTTTGAATTGTTCCTAGGTGTTTTAGGTGGAACTTACAGGAAGTATGAATAATAGGTGATTCGCTCACATTCTAATTTTGTGTTTTTCATTTTAGGTGAACTGGAAGGAATCAAAGGAACCGAAACTTTTGAGGAGAACTGTCAGACCGATCGGGGTTATCATACCTGCCAGCTCAACGCACATAAAATTTAAATAAAAATAAAATAAACTGTGAACATTTTAACCTGACTATTAATTTGAAAAACTTACAATTTTTGCCCAAATTTTTGGGTATTTTCGGACGTGATGCTCGAAAAATATTAGACCTGATTGACATTTGAGTCACTAAAGTCGACAATTAATCAAAAACCTTAAAAAATCCAACTTAGTCTCAAAACCTAACAAAATATTCTCAATTTATCTCAATCACAGCCAATTCAACAACTGACCCTCGCACTGCCCTTAATTCAACACTCGCAAGTGCCACAGCAACTCTCAATGACCTCCTTGGACAGATTCAAAACTTTACCGGCAACCAAACTGGAGTTCCTGGATTTACAACTGCAATTAATGACTTACTCAGTCAGATTCAAACTCTTCAAGCTAATTTGATGAACAATAATTTCACAACAGATGCAGCACTTGTTAGTTCAATTCAATCTGCCGTTGCTCAACAGGTTGCTGACTGGGCGGCTTATGTCGCAAACTCAACCACAACAACTGTCGATCCACGAGTCGCTTTGACAGCAGAAGCACAAATTTTACTTGCTGAACTTCAAGACTTTTTGCAGACCATCCAAAATTACACTGGAAATCAGACTGGAGTTCCTGGATTTATTAATGATACAACAGCTTTGATTGCTCAGGTTCAAGATTTGATCAACAACATGATGAACAATCCAGCTTCCGTTGATGCAGCTACTTTAGCTAATTTGGATGCTTTAGCTACTCAAAAGGCTGCTGAATGGCTTGCTTATGTTGCCAGCGATACAACACCTACAACTGTTGACCCACGACTAGCTTTACTCACTGAAGCCCAAAATTTGGCGACTGTTCTTGCTGGATTGACTCAAGAGATGCAGACTTACACTGGAAATCAAGCTGGAATTCCCACATTCTTAGGATTAACTGGAGACTTAGCTACTCAAGTTCAAGATCTAATTGCTAACATGATGAACAATACTTATGCAGTTGATGCTGCTCTATTGGCTACTTTACAAAACTTGGTAGCTCAAGATGCTTCTGCCTGGGCTGTATACAAAGCAAGCGACACCGGAGCAACAAGTGCAGCAAGTAAGTTATAACAATATGTCTAAATTAACACACCTAACCTCAATCTTTCCTCTTTGTAGCTTCAACATCAGACTTAACCACATCTGCTGAAGCTTTATTAGCTGATTTGAACACACTGATTCAAAGTATGCAGAGCTATACTGGAAATCAAACTGGAGTCTCTGGATTTGTAAATGATACATCAGGCTTAGCTACTATGCTTCAAGCTTTAATTGCAAATATGGGCAATAGCACTTTAGCTGAAAACATCGCAGCTTTAACTACTTTACAGAATGCAGCCGCACAAGAAGCAACTGATTGGGCCGCTTATGTAGCTGGCAGTACTTTGAATACCACAACAACTGTCGATCCACGAATTGCTTTGACATCAGAAGCACAACAACTTCTTGCTGAACTTCAAGACTTCTTGCAGACAATCCAAAATTACACTGGAAATCAGACTGGAGTTCCTGGATTTATTAATGATACAACAGCTTTGATTGCTCAGGTTCAGGATTTGATCAACAACATGATGAATAATCCAGCCTCCGTTGATGCAGCTACTTTGGCTAATTTAGATGCTTTAGCTACTCAAAAGGCTTCTGAATGGCTTGCTTATGTTGCGAGTGACACCACAGCTACAAGTAAGTTACATTGACAGTAAACTTTTGTATTTCAGGAATAAGTTTTATTAAGGAACCATTAAAATCTTATTAAATGGCTAATGTACGAAAGTGCTGAAGCTATTAGTGCTCAAAAGTGATATTAACAGTGAATAGTGAATCAGTTTAAGTGATTTTGGTAAGATTCGATGTTTAATTTTGAAATTTTACAGCTGTTCAGCCTGCAACAACAACTCTGGCACCTACAAACACGACTCAAGCTCAAAATGAAACTTCAAATTCAACAACCACAACTGTTGATCCACGTCTTGCTCTATTATCAACATCACAAATCTTGGCAGCTAATTTAGCTGCTTTAGCTCAGGACATGCAGACCTACACAGGAAATCAAGCTGGAGTTCCAACATTTTCCAGTCTAACTGGTGCTTTAACAACTCAAGTTCAGGATCTGACTAATAACATGATGAATAATGACTATGCAACCGATGCAGCACAATTAAGTAATTTACAGCTTTTGTCATCTCAAGATGCTGCGGCATGGATTGCATACAAGTCTAGTGACACTGCGGCTACAGCTGCAGCTAGTAAGTTTACGTCCTCATCTACATAATTTGTAATAATTTAATTAATTTAATCCTTAACAGCATCAACAGCAGCTCTGAATGCAACAGTTGAATCAACAATCAATGACTTGAACATGTTACTTCAAACCATGCAGTCATATGCAGCCAATCAAGCTGTGGTTCCAACTTCTGTAAGTGACACAATCAGCAATATTCAGAACTTGATAGCAGCAAGTCAAAATTTAAGTGCAAGCTTGGGAACAAATGGTTTAGCAGGTGACATTGCAGCAGTTACTGATCTACAGAATCAAGTATCTCAAACAGCTACTGGATGGGCTGCTTATATTGGAAATATTTTGAATGCTTCAACGACCACAAGTAAGAATTGGTACAAATTTTATGACTTTATTGATGTTAAAGTATGTCTTTTATTTTTTTAAAGCCGTGTCAACAACTACAGCATCAATTCCTACAACTATCGTGTCTTCTAATGGATCTGATACCACATCAAACTCTACAACATTAACACCTCCAGTTACCAATTCTTCAGACATGATCTCAGTGTCATCAAATGATACAACTACCACTGCTGTTGATTCAACAACTACTCAAGATCCATCAAATGTGACAACAACAACGATTGCTGTGACTTTAATACCTACAACAGCTATTCCAACTACGGCAGTTCCTACAACTGAAGTGCCCACAACCGAAGTGCCAACGACTTTAGTTCCAACCACAGCAGTTCCTACAACTGAAGTGCCCACAACCGAAGTGCCAACGACTTTAGTCCCAACCACAGCAGTTCCTACAACTGAAGTGCCCACAACCGAAAAGCCAACGACTTTAGTCCCAACCACAGCAGTTCCTACAACTGAAGTGCCTACAACCGAAATACCGACTACATTGGTTCCAACGACTACTACACTACCACCTACTACTTTAGCACCAACAACAATTCCGACAACAACATTACCTCCCACAACATTAGTTCCAACAACTACCACTACAAAGGCAACAACCACGACCTCTAAGACATATCCTTGTAAGTTCGATCTAATTCGATTTAAGTTAAAATTTGATTCTATTAAATTCGTTCCTTCCTTTTCAGTAACAACAATGGCTGGCCAATGCGACTGGTGCTTCAAGATTCCATTGCTCAGCTGGGCTCAGCTTCTTATCAGTTTCAAGTCAACAAACTGCGGTTGTCCAACTGGCTATGTTGTCATGAGGAACTGGACCGATTTGATCTTTGGTAAAGAGCATTCATGCTGCTACTAAGTCCTAAGTATGGACACATGCAAGGATTCTGGGAATTTCTAGAATTTTTGTGAATTTTCATTTTTATTAATCTTTTAAAATATTTGATTTAACTTCTAATTTGTGGCTTAAACATTAAAATTAATTTTCAAAATTGAATAAACTATTGCAAAGATTGGCTAGAAGTAAGCAACATTGAACATGTTGCGCCATCTTTTGAAAAAAATAATTAAGTTTAAAGAATAATTTGAATTTATTTTGACCGTTAAACAAAATTTCAAATTTTCTGAATTTAATTGGTTGATTTAAGGAATTTTGGAAATTTGTTCGGAATCTAGGAATTATTTGAGGGTACGCAACAGAATGATGGGATGTATATCCATTCATAGACAGTCCACAATACTACAACCAAGGATCCTGCAACTGAACATTCAACAACGTCCGTCACTAACCTCAAATCTCCTCTTATACCGATCATTTCCTTAATAATTAAGCACATTATCATTAGATTATTTTAAGAAAATGAGCATCCTAAAATTACTTTGTAGATCACTACATCCACAGCAATTATCAACTTACACCACTTCCGCAATTTCTCAGTAAATATAAAAAAAAACAACAAAAAAATTTTAATTGTTTTTAAAATAGAAGAAAAAAGATTTGCGCGAAAAATAACAAATTGCGTCACAAATGACCGCGAAAATTGGCAAACATTTAAGATAGAAAATAATTTGAGAAGGGGCCAATGAATGGACAACAGATCGGAGATGAACAAGAGAGCAGAAATGCTCGAAATTAAGGTGAATAGCATCGTAAAGTGAGAAAAAATAATTTTCGCGAATTTTTAAATTTATTTTTGTGATTTTCATAACTGATGAAAATGTTTGAGAAGTTTAGTTGTGTCTGACTGTCCTAATTTGAGATTACTTTGCATAAATCGAATTCTTTGGGTGATGGGGATTTAAAGGGTGTGAAACTAAGAATCTGAGATTTAAAGGGTGTGAAATTAAGAATCTGGAATTCAGGGATTGTGAAACTAAGAATCTGAGATTTATGGGATGATATGAAGCTAAGAATCTGAGTTTCAAGGGGTGTGAAATTGAGAATCCGAGGGGTGTGAAACTAAGAATCTGAGATTAAAGGGGTGTGAAGCTAAGATTCTGAGATTCATGGGGTGTGAAATTGAGAATCCGAGGGGTGTGAAACCAAGAATCTGAGATTAAAGGGGTGTAAAACTGAGAATCCGAGATTCATGGTGTGCAAAACTAAGAATCTGGAATTCAGCGAATGTGAAATTAAGAATCTGAAATTCAGGGGTGTGAAACTGAGAATCTGAGATTAAAGGGGTGTAAAACTGAGAATATGAGACTCAAAGGGTGTGAAACTATGAATCTTGGATAAAGAAGGTGTAAAACTATCATTTCAATATTCAAAGGGTGCAAAACTAAGAATATGAAGACTATGAATACAAAAGAAAAAGAAAACACTAAAAGCGCATCTTACATTAAACTCAAACAAGCATTCTCAACTTGCACTTTTCTATTTACATGTTAATCGGGGGCGACGGTTGATTATTCTCAGATGCTATTACCAGCAAGATTTGAATCATCCTAAGGTCTACGGACTTTCTATCGACTTTCAGGAAAATAAATTTAAAATTTTATTTGTTTTGTTTTTCTATTTTCAGCAAAGTTGAACGAATTTTCTAATTTTTAATAGTTCAGGTAAACAATTTTCAAGTTATTTGAAGGTGAAGGAGAAACAGCGAACATTTGTGACGATGTCTAATTGTTGTTTTTTGATACAAACTATTTCTGAAAGAAAAATGTAGAAGAAAATGTAAATTAATTTTTTGAAGAACAAAATCACGTATTTAGCAGTCGTGACAAATTTCACGTGAAGATTTTACTGTGAAGAAAAAATATTTTGATGTCATTGTGCCAATTAAATTTGATCTTTTTCATTGTTGTTTATGGCTTTTTTGGTCTGACTTGTCTTTTTTTGGAAAATAAGATTGGTGGACTTTTTCAGGGGCTTTTCAATTAACAGATTAAACAGCACGGATATTGGAATTGAAATGATGAGCGACAAAATAAAGTCTTAATTTTCATACTTTTTAGGCCACTTGAACTGATGAATCCTTATTTGAGTAGAATCCTGAACATGCTGCCTATCAGATTGCCGTGAATTGTTCTACGAGATATTATTTTTAAAGAATATGATTTAAGTTTTCAAATTGTACAAAAAGCTTTAATTTTGTCATTGCTTTGGATTTTTGGCTTATTAACGGTTTCTTATTTATATATGAGAAAAGTTGAATTCATGAAATAATAACAATTTATTTTCTTACTTCTCTTGAGTTTTTTTTTTTTAAAAAAATAACAATTTGAATTTCGAAAGTTGAAATTTGAAAGTTTTATCTTCGAAAATTAAAAACTTTGATTTTGAAACCTAAACAATTTCAATTCCGAAACTTAAAAATTGAATTTCAAAACTTGAAATTTTAATTTCGAAAGTTAAAAATTTTAATTTTAAAAGATAAAAATTTGAATTTCGAAAGTTGAAATTTTAATTATGAAAGTTAAAAATTTGAATTTTAAAAGTTGAAATTTTAATTTCGAAAGTTAAAAATTTGAATTTGAAAGTTGAAATTTTAATTTCGAAAGTAAAAAATTTGAATTTCGAAAGTTAAAAATTTGATTTTGAAAGTTGAAATTTTAATTTCGAAAGTTAAAAATTTGAATTTTGAAAGATAAAAATTTGAATTTCGAAAGTTGAAACTTTAATTTTGAAAGTTAAAAATTTAGTTTCGAAAATTAAAAATTTTAATTTCGAAAGTTAAAAATTTTAATTTCGAAAGTTAAAATTTTAATTTCGAAAGTTAAAAATTTTAATTTCGAAAGGTAAAAATTTGAATTTCGAAAGTTGAAATTTTAATTTCGAAAGGAAAAAATTTGAATTTCGAAAGTTGAAATTTTAATTTTGAAAGTTAAAATTTTAGTTTCGAAAGTTAAAAATTTGAATTTCGAAAGTTAAAAATTGAACATTCCTGAAATAAAAAAAAATCCTGCAAAATAGAAATAAAAATATTAAAAACGTAAAATTAATCTTTTAAATCACATTTTTATTGACTTTTTTTTTCTCATTCATTTTTTAAATATTTTTTGTCCTTACAAAGTAATTGTTTTTTTCATTTCATTTCATTTGTATTCTGCGGTGATTAAATATAGTTTTTTATATAATATATCATATGAATTCGATAATATTCTATCATTTCACTGCTTATAAGTTTATTATTCTCAGTTATCTGCACATTTTTTTTCCAAATCGGAAGTGCGATTTCATTTTAATTTCTGATTCATCCAAGCGAGGATGTCAAATTTTCACAATTTTTTAATTTTTTTTATCACAAAGAAAATTTTTATTTGTCAATTTGTTAATTACTAAAAAAAATATTGAAATAAATTGAAATTATAATTTTTTTTAATAATTTTCAGTACATTTTTTTATTATTGGAGTTTTTTTAGTACAATTTTGAGTCAAAAACTTGTTTTTTTAAATTGCAAAAAATTATGAATTTTTTCTGGTCAAAATTTATTATTTTTTGGGGGTTTTGATACAAATTTGATGACATTTTGAAGATTTTAGTCGACTTGTGTCATGATTTGGACCCCTGATCCCACCTTAGTCACCCTTTAATACAGAACTGGGAGTTCTGGACCCTCCAGTTCTGTCACAAAATAATGTATTAGTTAAATTGCTATTGTTTGGTTCCATCAACCATAATTATTATTTAATACTGACTTGAAAAAGTATTTATAAATGTGAAAATACTGAGTTTATAGCTACAACTATGAATATTATGAATCTTATTGATGCCATAACAGTCTTTAGCCATTAAAAAACATCAAAAAAGGGATAAAAATTATTGAGATCGAGCTACAAAATAGGAGATTTGAAATAAATTAAAATAAAAAAAACTAAAGCCAATTTTCACACACAAAAAAAAATTGCAAAATTTATATAAAAAATCAAAATTAAATGCTTTTTTTCGTGCTGATTCGGACATCCATTTTGGAGCCTCGACAATTTGTTAATCCTAAATATCGAAAAATTTGTTAAGTTTCCTAGCAAAAAATTTGTAATCGATTAATATTTTCTTAAATTTGCTTTCACATTGATAGGATACAAAAAATTTATTTTTTTGACTTTTTTGTTTTGACTGGATTTTTGTGGGGTAGTGGGGTGTGACCCCTTTTCTACCCCATCCGCCATTTTGTTGTTTTTTTTTCTTCGTTCATTAATTTTTAAAAATTTGTTAAATTTCTACTTTTGCTTATCACTTTTACATTTATTATTTCATATATTATTATTTTTTTTCTTATCTCTTAAAATTGATTAATCACATTTCGCATAATTTCTAAGAATTCCTAAATTTTTTATCATTTTTTTCTTGTTTTTTTCATCTTTTTATTATTTTTATGGTTTTGCAAAAAATTCTTCACTTTTAATGGATTTTTTGGGGGTTGTTTTGGGTAAAAGGTGTGATTTCTGTGTAGTTTGATACTCTTTTTGATAGTTTGACACCCTTTCAGATAGTTTGACACCACTTTGGGTAGTAAACCTGTTTAGGTTGTTAAGTGCCCATAAAATGAAGCTTGGTACTTTGTGAGTAGCTAACATGTAGTTTAGTACCCTTTGATGTAGTTTAGTATCCCTTAAGCTACTTTAAGTATCACGCAATAGGACATGCGTAATCTTAAAAGCCTTAAAACAGCTAAGGACGCTCAAAAGTAGATAAAATATCCCAAAAGTCAAAAAACTACCAAAAATCCACCTCATATCCAGCAACAAGCACCCAAAAGTTATTGAAATTTCTACTGCATGATAATTTATCAAAAAAGAGTTATTTGTTGTGTTGGGTTTTGGGAGTCTGAGAAGATAGAAAAGTTGTGGTTTGTTTTTTGTGGAGGGAAAGAAATTGGAAAATCCTACTTAAAATTACAATTCTTAAGAAATTTGAACTTTTTTCATATCACGATTAATTGATTTTTTAAATTTTCATCTTCTCACATTTTTTTTCATTTTTCATTTTTTGAATTTCTTGCCTCACAATTGTCCACAAGTTGGACTTGATTTTTTAACTTTAAAGTAGTTTTTAAAAATGCAAAAATATTTTTCAAATGTAAAAAATTAAAATTAATTATTTAAAGTAATTAGAAAGGACTACGACAACGAGAATTACTTGACATACACACAGGAAATCCAACAATTATATAAAAAATCATCACAAGTCGAGAGACGACAGAGTGTACTTAGTGGTGGGATGGGTCATAGCTAGCAAGGCTGGTCCAGGGTTGGTTGGTGACTAGACATGATGATGATGATGTCCATTTTTTACTCAGCAAATGAATAATTCAATTTGTGCTTGCTAAGTGTATAGTCACGACTTATAACAATTGTACTGGCACGTGTAAGATTGCGTATGAATTGTGGCATAATTGCTGAGATCCACTTACTACGGCTATGTTCCTGCTTTAATGTCAATCGCAATTCAAATGTTGCAACTGTATTGAGATCAGTATTGCATGTTGCAATCTCATTACTTCCACTTCCATCACCATTATCAAATTCTATACGAATATTTGCACCACGAATGCCACAAGCTTCCTCATCTGATGCTGCTAACATGTCTATTGCAATTCTTTCAAGCATATCACATGGAAGTAGAACTTCAGTACATGCTAAATGCCTCTGCTTTGCATCTCTTAATGTTGCCATAAGGACATTCCTAACATGTTCAATCTCAGCTTCATTCCAATGTGGCAATGTTGTTAAGAAACTGTCTTCATCTTCCCATAATTGCTCAATTGCTGCCATTCCTACTTCCTCTTTCTGATTACTATGACTGTGATGACGTTTTGGTGATGCAATTGGTTGTGACTTCTTTCCTATTACATTTGGTGCTGTCCATCTTAATGTATTGCTGCCATCTAAATTAAATTAAATTAAAAGAATAAAAAATTAGTTTTTTGACCGTTAAAATTTTAAAGACTTTAGTGACTGGACTATGCAAAGGAACCGATGCTGTACAATTAAATTTCACCCACTTTTTGTTGTTGCACCAATACATAGGTACAGCACTAATACTAGTAAATGACATTAATACATTCATAACCGCTCTCATCAGCTGTTTGTGCCGGTTCCAACTTTCCATTCGCTTGTATTTGTGCCAATTTTTTTTCATTACTGCCGTTACTGCGCATTCGTCAGCGAAACAATTACCAAAAAAAATTGATTTTTATGCTGCTTACAAAGTCAGCTGGAGTTCTTTTATTGTTGTTGATTCGCGCATCTGTGTTGGAACTGGCACATACAGGCACAGCTAATAGAGCTGCTTAGCAACAGCAATCGAGTCAGTTTCACTCAATAAAATGCACAAATTGCATCACTTTAAAAGCTTAATTTTGTTGTTGCTGTTGCTTGCTGTGCCTGTATAGCCGGCAGAATTGCGAGGAAAATTAAAGTTTTGGAAAAATTGCAACAACAAAGTAGAAAAAAAATTGTGAACTGACTCAACTGAGACTGAACGTCGTCGATTTTATTCTTTTTTTTTATTTTTTAAGTCGGATTTGCGGGCGTTGTTGTTGGAATTGGAAGTGAATTTTTCAAGTTTTTTTTTTGGAAAATGAATTAAAATTGGCGATGTTTGCAGGTTCAAGGATTTTTAAGGGTTGTGGGGAGGTTGGGGGGCTTTGGTTGGTCTCGAAGGGTTCTTTAATGTTTTGAGATTTTTTTCGAGAATTTTAACTTTTTTAAGATTTTTTCAATTTTTCGAAATTTAATAAAAGTTCCTTTTATTTTTTTAAATTGAAAAAAATTGTGGATTTTACTTTAAAATTATAAAAACTTTTTAAATTATTTTTTTAATTTTTTTCTGACGCTTTTTTCATTTTTGTGATTTTTTTTTGCTTTTTTTAATTTTTTTCAAGCGAGTTAAAAAGAAAAAAATCATTTTTCAATAAATAATCGCAAATTTAAGCCAATTTAACATGAAAAACTGAAAATTTTCTACTTTTTCTTCACAAATTTTTCAGACTTTTCCTCAATTAATTTTTCTGGTGCAATTTTAAAACCAAGTGACCCTCAAGACCCCCTCAAAACCCCCCAAAATGGTGAAAAATTCAAGAAAATTTCATCAGAAAAAAAGAAAAAAAAATTTCCAGCATAAAAAAATAATTTTTTTCTTCTTTCTGTTCTATGCTGCTCGTTTTCCCTTTTCATTGCTGTTTGAAGGTCAAATTAAATATCAGCAGTGGAAGGGTGAGTGACAAAGATAGAAATATTGAGTGAGTGAGATGGAAAGATGCTCAAAAATCGGAAGGGAATTCCTTTTTCTTAAGAAATCTTTTTTTGGGTTCCTTTGCAGGTAAAAAATTTCACTTTACTATTTGTGGACCAAAAATATTAAGGAAGACAGTGAGTCAAGTGGAACTTACCTTTAGATTTTGATGGCATGACGTGCATGAATTCATTTTGAACTGCCAAAATTTCCATTTTCATTTCACTTTTTTTATTAAAATTTTAAAGTCTTTATTTTAACTTTTATTTTTGCGGCTCACAGCACAGAAAATTTTAAAATTTTAAATCACTTTTTTAGTTCTTTTTTTCCATTCGATGGCAAATTTTCAAAGTTTTTCTTTTCTGTCAATTTTTTTGTGGCTGAATTTTCCACAAAAAAAATATAAAAATTATTTAAAAAATCACAAAAATAATTTTTAACAAGAAAAATCACAAATTCTGCTTTTTTGACTTTTGGTTGCTGACTAAAAAATTTAAATTTTATAAATTATAGGAAAATTTTCAAGTTTTTTAGTTTTTTTTTCAAAGCAGAATTTTTTTTATTAAATTTGAGTTTTTTGTTGCTTTTTTTTGATGTTACAACGTTCACTGCTGTTGACGAACTGAATCGACTGCTGCCGACTGTGTGCCGGTTTTAAAGATTTCTGTCCAGTCACCAATACAGTCAAACATGCACGCACACAACTTTACTTATTGACTTCTTAAATTGACTTTTTCAAGTCTTTTTCGTGACTTTTAATGGATTTTGAAGAACAATTTTGGAAGATTTTGACTTATTTTATAGAAATTTTGAGTTTTTCCGGGAAATTCTCATGGAAATTGTGACAAATTTGATCATTTTAGTTCCTCTGAGATTGATGAGAATTGCACTTGTGTGAAACTTTTTTTAAATGTATTTCAAAACCAACACAAATGCACAAAATTTGTTGATTTTTTTTTCTTTTCATTTGTATTTCAATACAGTTTAAAGGCACAGTCAGTTCTCGGTTTTTTGGATCACTTTCGCAGTTTTGTGACTTGTTTTTGAGATGTGACTGATTTTGCGATTTTTAAGGGGGTTTATTTGGGGTTCACTGGTTAGATAAAGAGGCTCTGTTGAAAATCAGTTTGATTCCTGGGTCAGAGCTTCTCAAACTATGATTTACGGCACATTATTGTCAACAGAACCATTAAGTATGCCACAAAATGAACTTAAACATCCAAATTAGCTTTGAGAAAGTTATTTTCTGTGTTGCTGGACTTAAAAGCTTTAAGAATCACTCTTCTAGACTCTGGGTTGCTTCACAATAGGCCAGAACACTTGAAGTCAAGACCAGCTAAGGCAAATTGTCACTGTTAACACAATTAAGACTCTATGCATGGCTACATACAGTTTTAATGACAATAAAATGGTTAAAGGCTTAGAAAACATTGTAAATCTATCTCCAAGTGCTGTGGTTTGGTCTAGCTGCACAGTGATCAGCTATAATCAACATCTAGGAACATCATACTACATCCATGGATCTAAATCTAATGATTATCTGATTTTTGATGCTCTAAAAAGTCAAACATTAAAGACTTAAGACCCCAACCTCCAATAAATTCCTTAAAGAGCCACAACAGTCACCAGAAAGTGTGGATGTAACTTACACGTATCCCTAACTGCCCATAAATTCTATCTTCTTTCCATCTTACTCACCCTCATTCATTCCTTCTTCTTCCATCCAACATAAAATTTCCATTCACTTACATTTCTCTGTAAAGTTCCAAATCCAACAGAACCGAGCGAGAACAGAGCATGTAAAGTGAGTGAAATGGAAATTGAGTGTAATTTATGAGAAGTGAGACACACATACAGGCACAAGGTATGTACAGCATAACAAGAGTATGTAATGAATAGTCATCAGATGTTGAGGGAACACACAAAAAACAGCAGAAACAGAAACAGAAACAACAAGTCTTAGGAAAATTTCTATTGCGCACGGCGTTGCCAACTTTTTCATCCACAATTTCCACTTCCACCAACTTTTTTTGCCATCGTCCTTTCCATCAACAGCTGATTTTCATTGATTTTTCATAAAAAAATATTTTTTCTTCTCAATGAAAATGAAAATTTGGCATCAATGCTGCTCTGCTGCTGCTGCTGCTTCTGATGTTCGTTCGTCATCCAAAAGCCGGTTTTGAATGAGAAACGGCAACAAAAACTATCAACATAAAGTGAAAAAAAGAGCTCAAAAAGCGAAGTTGAAACGAGGAAATTTTCTTTAATGAGTTTGAAATTCAGCAGCAACAACAACAATAACTGACATGGCACTTCCATCAGATGATCGTTTAAGTGTGTATGTGTGTTGTTGGGCTTATGGCTTATGAGATCGACTGGAGTAACTTGATTTTGCATGATTGGACGTGAAATTTCAGGAACTCTTAGTAATTCTGTAAAATTAAATTGTTTCATTGAACCTGAACGTAACCCATAAACTAATCGTATCCCAGAAACTGAACATATCCCCGAACTTTTCATGTTCTTTAACCTAAACTGAACCTTTTCTTAAATGTAGTAAGCCAATGTCTGTAAACAGAATAAATATCAGTTGGCTTTCGAAAATTTTGAAAAAATTCGTAAATGATCAATTTTAAAAAACAAATATACGTTAGTAATTTTGTCATATTTGAAAATTAAAAATACGTTAGTAATTTTGGAAATCATTAAAATATTTATTAACTTTAAAATTTAATTATTTTTTGAGGCAAATTCATTTCTTTTATGCATAAAGCGACCCTGATACTGTAACTTCTTCCTGAATTCAACAAATGCTTTAATAAGCTTATCGATAGTTTCCTTGAAATAACATTTTTTGTATATACTTACAAGAGATGGAAATGCATCCGCATTTAATCGTACTCATTCCTATTTACCATAGAGTGACAAAAATGAAGAACGCACAAAAAATACTTTTTTGACTGAATATATTGAATTTCATGATATTTTAAATAGTCGATCCATTTTCCTCGATGTATCGAACTCTCTGGAAGTTCAAATATGGGGATGTTGCTATTTTCTCTTCCTTTACAGCTTTGAATTGCACAAATTTTAACCATTTTAAAAAATTTCGAATTTTTGAATTGAAAATGTAAACAAATTTTCATAACGAACATTTTGAATTCAAATTTTTTTCCCGCGTTCGAAAAATAAGATCCTTCGAAATCGAAAAATAAGATCTTGTTTACAGACATTGGGTAGTAAGTATTTAAATTGACAAATTTATAGCCTTTCTTATCTGAACTTATCCCAGAGCAAAATTGATCTTATCCTCAAAAAAATCCTATTCATAATTTAAAATTATCTTTAAACTGAGATTGGTTGGAAACTGAATCTATCCCTAAGTTGAATGTATCTTTAATCTGAACTTATCCTTGAACTAAACTTATCCCTTTCAAAAATTTCACCATAAAAATGACCAAAATAACGGCTGTCAAGTCCAATTCAATCCGTTTCGCCCTTCAAAATTCATTTTTATTCCTGAACATTCCCGATTCCTTTCTTGTTGATTCACGAACTTTTCCCCTTTTGAATTTTAATTCCCTTTTTTTCAGTTTCGTTATTTATGTTTTTTCTCATCCCTCGCTGTGTGAAATGCTCAACAGCACTTCCAACTTCAAATGCCTTCATTTGCATTTTAATTTCTCTTTTTGACGGTTTTTTTCGTTCTTTTTCAAAGGTTTAAGTGGAAATTTTTTGGAATAAATTCATCGATTTGCAGCTTGGGAAAAATATTTTTGTGGTTCAATTTTTTTGAAGGTTTTTTGTCAGGCAGGAGAGGGTGTTGATAGGTTTCTTAACGGATTTGAACATAATTTTACGGAGTTTTTTCAATTTTTTGTTGAGTTGAATCGAAAGCCAGCAGATAGTCCTCAACTTGCCCACTTAAATCCAGTTGAACACTCGGAAAATTCATTAAATCCTTGAAAAATCGAACTTGTCATCTCGTCAATAATCATAAACTCAAAATAGGAAAAAGGAAGCAATAACCATCAACAACATAAGCAACAACAGCAGCCAACAGCAGCAACGCAATCAGCAATCAGTAAAAGAAGCAATAAAATCCAATTGTGCAACAGTTTCACTTCCAATTTTTGCAATTTTCATTCCTTTAGAAAATTTTTCACAGCTCATAAAAATGAAAATGAGGCACAGCAAGCAACAGAAAGGGACGAATTCGCTTCGATTGCAACAAAAACTCACGCAACCCTCATCGAAAATTGCTGCATTTAAGAATATCGCTTCCATTTTTATTCGTGTGTATGTCATTCATTGCTGTTCATCGATTTTTTTGCTTTTCTTCGTCCCCTGTTGCTTATTATGTGCTGTGCTGTATATTCATCCTTAACTCACTCCAGAACTCCTTTTTAGTAAGCGTTTATTGCGCGTTTTCTTCTTCTTATTCGCAGTTAGATTTTTTTTTGTTGTTTTGTAGGAAAACGATGAATAATGCAAGGGTTTGGACACTGAGTAAAATATAGCGACTGAGATTGTGTTTCGCTTTTTGGATACAAATTGGTCATGATTCATGCTTTTAGAATGTGACGTTTTTGATATTTCAGCTTTATTAGTGAGATTTTTGGTTTTGATGCAGAAGTTGTGGTGAGTCTGCTGAAATTTCAGGTGAATTTTGTGAGTTTGTGTTGAATTTGTTGAGTTTTTTGATGAATTTATGGTCAGTTTTATGACATTTACACCAAGGTTGGTGCATTTGGTGAGTTTTGTGAATGTTGTGGTAAAATTGGTGAGTTTTTTAAGATTTGTGAAATTTTAGGAGAATTTTTTAGAGTTTGGTGGTGAAATTGGTGAGTTTGTGGTGAAATTGGTGAGTTTGTGGAGAAATTGGTGAGTGTTGTGGTGAAATTGGTGAGTTTTGTAAGATTTGTGAAATTTTAGGTGAATTTTATTAGAATTTGGTGGTGAAATTGGTGAGTTTGTGGTGAAATTGGTGAGTTTTTGGAGAAATTGGTGAGTTTTGTGGTGAGTTGTGAAACATTTTTTAAAGAATGAATAAAAATCTGTAGCAACTTTAAATAATCAAAAGATTCTTAAAGTACAGTTAAAACAAATCACAGTGAGTCACCCCAGCCGAAAATAAAAAAAAGAAAATCCATCAACAATTCTTTCATAACCAGCTCCGTTGCTGCTATTTTGCTATTACGCAACAATACATAATAAAATTCTCGTTTCTCCCAGTTCTTCATGTTCTCGTTC